GGAGGATGATGGGTGGTGGTGGTGGTGGTGGTGGCGGTGAGGATGATGCTGATGATGATGACGGCGGCGGCGGTGACGACGACGGTGACGGCAACGACGACGGCGAAGCCGGCTGCGGCGTCCGCCGCGGTGGCGACGACGGGGGCGGCGGCGACGACGACGACGACGACGGTGCTGGCGGCGGCGGCGGCGACGACGACGACGACGACGACGCGACGACGGCGGCGGCGGCGGCGGTGACGACAACGACGATGACGACGATGACCACGACGGCAGCGGCGGCGGCTGCGGTGGTGGTGGCGGCGGTGGCGGCGGCGTCGGCGGCGGCGACGACGACGACAGAAGCGGCTGTGGCGACGGCGACGACGACACCTACGACGGTGACGACCACGACCGCAGCGGTGGCGACGGTGGCGGCGGCGCGGACGACGAAAACGACGACGACGACAGTCACGACGACGACGACGACGATGAGTGCGACGACGACGACGATGACGACGACGGCGGCGACCGCGACGACGACGGCGATGGCAACTGGGGCGGCGACGGCGACGGCGACGGATACGGCGACGGCGACGGCGACGGATACGGCGACGGCGACGGCGACGGCGACGGCAGCATCGACGACAACGGCGGCGGCGACGACGATTGCGGCGGCGGCGGGTGCGGTGGTCACGGCGACGATGACGACAACGACGAGGACGTTTACGACGACGGCGGCGGCGGCGGTGGCTGCGGCTTCGGCGGCGGCGGCGCCGACGATGAGAACGACAACGACGACGACGACGTCAATCACGACTACTACGACAACGACGACGACGACGACGACGACGACGACGACGACGACGACGACGACGGTGGCGACGACGACGACGACGACGACGACGACGACGACGACCACGACCACGACCGCGGTGGGGGCGGCGGTGACGGCGGCGGCGGCGGCGGCGACTACGATGACGACGAAGACGACGACGACCACGGCGGCGGCGGTGGTGGTGGCGGCTGCGGCGACGGCGGCGGTTGTGGCTGCGGCCGCGGTGGCGACGACGACGACGACCACGACGACGACGACGATGGCGACGACGAAGGCGGCGGCTGCGGCGGCGACGACGACGACGACGACGGCGACCACGATAACGACGACGACGATGTGGGATCCGCTCGGAACGCTTGCAAAGCGCGCGCCCCTCGCCGCGCCCCGTCACAGGCCCACCCTGAGAGGCCGCGCCAGCGGTGGCCCGCGCGGCTGCGGCTCGACCGTTGCGCTTCGGCCACGCCCGTCGCGGCCTCCGCGGTGTAGGGTCTCTGCCCGGCTGGGCGCCCCCACGGATCCATTTCGATCTGATGGATCCGATTCGATGTCGGTTCCGGCATGCCCGATCCGATTCGATTTCGATTTGCCGTCGATTTGGTGCGGTCCGATGCCTGCATGGGGTTGTTATGCATCCTGGTGCAGTCGATCTGTTTCGGTTTCGATTCTGTGCCGATGCGGCCCGATCTGACGCACATTCCGATTCGGTGCGATTCCCGGATTCGATGCTGACCGATCCTGCCACCGCTCTCTCCCGCGCGCGCGCGGGACAAAAGGCAGGTCGACGAGACGGAGGGCCAGAGGAGAAGTTTCAGAGGAGAAACAAGCATCGCGCCAGTCTTCTTTTCCCAAGCATCTTCTGGTATTGGGTCTTCTTTTTGAAGAGACAGGGCCCCGCGTTACTCCTCCTCCTTCTCCTCCTCTTGCTTGCCCTTGCTTCTGCCCTCCTCATGTCCATCATTTCAGCGCACCTTGTACAGCGCTTCGTGGCTCCATAGGGAGCTCCGCCGAAGGCCCCAGTGGCTGTGATCACATGCGTCCCAGTCACCGATTTCGGCATACCCTCACACGTTTCGTGCCCCCACGGGGGGCTCCATCAAAGGCCCCAATGGCTGTGATCACATGCATCCCCACCACATATTTCGACACACTCTTTACACCATTCGTGGCCCCATAGGGAGCTCCGCCGAAGGTCCCAGTCGCAGTGATCACATGTGTCCCCGCCACCCATGTCGGCACACCCCACATACGCTTCGTAGCCCCACTGGGAGATCCACCGAGGAGGATACGCACCACTGCGGTACTCTCAACTGCTTATTGTGGTTCCTTCGCCAGAATAATTTTGATCTTTTCGGTCCCTTTCAGGGGAACGGGTCGAGACCCTTGGTGGGAGGTCGACGTTGTGAACGTCTGGGGTTTGGGAAATGTGCTGACTCCTGCTCAGAATGCACCCTGGGAGGTCTGGGTAGTATCGGTATCGGTAGTTAATGGCTTTCGGCCCATCCCGCCATCGTGCTTGGGTTGTGAGTATAAAGCCTGTTGCATGTTCGTTGGGACCTCTTGGGGGGCCTCTCGGGGGCCTGTTGGAGGCAGGTTGTAGGCCTCTTTGGGGCCGTCTTGGGGCCTCTCGGAGCCTCTTTTGGGCCTCGGGCCTCTTGAGGCCTTTAGGGGCCTCTTGGACCTTGGGGCCTCTTGGGGGACCTCTTTTGCCTCTTGGGGCCCTCTTGCCATTGTAGGCAAATCACTGATTTTGCCTCTTGGGACCCTCTTGGGGGACCTCTTGGAGGTCTCTTGTGGCGTCTTGGAGACCTCTTAGGCTATCTTGGTTTTTTTTGGCGTCTTGGAGCGATCTTGGGGTGACTCGGGGCCTTCTTTCACCACCTTGGGGGCCTGTTGGAGCCATCTGGGCTCGTTTTGGGGCCCTCCTGGGCGGGGTAGGCCGACGCGAGCGATTCTGGTGGACCCTGGCAGACCCGGGGCCAGCTGGGGAGACGACTGGTCCAGGCCCTTGACGACTTACAACTCTGGCTGCAGCGGCAGCACAGCCCTCTCAGTGCTGTGCACGGGCCTTGGGGCACTCCACTTCGTGCCAGGGGCGCGGCGGCGGATCTTCTGGCGCCCGCAGGGGGCGGAGTGCAGAGCCTTTCCGCTGTATTCTGGCTCTCTCGTGGTCCCTCTCCCTTCCTTCTCCTCCTCCTCCTCCTCCTCCTCCTCCTCCTCCTCCTCACTCTTCCTTCTCCTCCTCCTCCTCCTCCTCCTCCTCCTCAGTCTAGGCCTCTTAGATAGGGTCGGAGTGGACGGGGTCGGAGCATCGCGCCGCATCGCCGATGTATCGACTATGCGGCTCGATGCGGAGCCCGAGTTTCTCCAGGCCGGCATCGACGATGCATCGCCGGTGTATCACCGATGCATCGCCGACACATCGCCGATACATCGCCGATGTATCGGGGATGCGGCGCCATCCTCCGACCCCATCTACTCCGACCCCATCTACGTATGGATCTCGTCGCCCTACCCCTCTTCTGTGGAAGGACCAGCGTCTGCACTGCTCGGATCTGGCAGCCAGTCGAAGACACTGCGGCCCCCCCCGTCGCCCCATGCGCGCCCCGATTTCGATGTCGAGAGATGTCGCGCGCGCCAGGGGGCGACAGAGGATGTGACGCGCCCCTCCACTGCTCTCCCCTCTTTCTCTCTCGTGCTGTCGTCGTCGTCGTCGTCGTCGTCGTCGTCGTCGTCGTCGTTGTTGTCGCCGGCCAAGATTGCTCCAAGACGGCCCCACCGAGGCCCCGAGACTGCTCCGCGAGGCCCGCAGAGGCCCCCGCAGAGGCCCCCGCGAGGCTCCCCGCGAGGGGGAGATCCGAGCAGGCAGTGGCGGACTCCCGCCGCCGCCGCCTTCGCCGTCGCCCTCCATCAGAAGCTCGGCACGAACGAGATGGGTACGGAAAGGATGGGCACAATGCCCAACAGCAGTTCCTGTTCATTTTGAACATGACTCGCTGTCCAGGCCTGTGTCTATTCGAGACAGAAGGCCACCTGCCCAACAGCGGCCGCTGTTGGTTTGGGACAACATTTGTTGTTGGGCATTTTACTCATTTTTTCCATACCCATTTCGAGCGTCTAAAGAAGCAGAGCGCCAGACCTGGCTTCCTTCGAACGATCTTGATCGGAGCGCAGAGCCAGACTTCCTCGCTCCCTCGCTCCTCCCTCGCTCCTCCCTCCCTCCCCCCCCCTCCCTTCCCTCCTCCAGTGGAGGGCACCTGCACATCGCCACCACCATGCGTGGCCAGGGCCATCCTGGGCTCTAGGGTTGTGGAAGTCGATCAATGGAGAGGAAGCATGCTGCCAAATAATTTCCAGATGTCTAAAACATGTGAAAAACATGTTGAAAACATGTTTAGAACGTTTTCCCGACATTTGAAACACATTTTAGATTCAATGATAGGACTGTTAGGGTGTCCATTGTCGTGGCATCCACAACCCCAGGGTGGCGTATGGATCCGGATGGCCTTGGCGAGGAGGTTGCGCACACGACCGCGCGGGCCCAGGAGTTGCCCTGGCCAGGGTCCTCAGCACTGTGCAGGTGTCTCTGCGTATCCCTCGCCCGCTCCTTCCCTTCGCCCCCTCCCCTCGATCCTTGCCTCCCTTCGATCCCTCCCTCGTTCTCTCGCTCCCTCGTTGGATCCCCGACGAACATCGGCGTACACACAATCTTTCGCAGCTCCGCGAGGCTTTCTTGGATCGGTGCTGGACCCCCCATCCCTCTCCCTGCCGCCCAGGGTGGTGGTCCAGCGCCTATCCAAGAAAGCCGCGCGGACCTCCGAAAGGTGATACACATCTAGAAATGTATACAGGCATACGCATACATATATACACATCTGTATATATATATATATTCCTTTACATATAGACATATATAGACATATAGGCATACACAGACATACACATAAATTTACACATACACACATATATATACACATGTGCATACGGATATATGTATAGCTGCATACATCTACATGTATATGGAATTCCTTGCTGCTCTAGATCCTCCTTCTGCCCTCTCCTCCGATCCCTCCCTCCCTCGCGCCCGCTCAGGGCTGGGCCTCCCATCGCTGAGGAGGTTGGCGTTGGCTGCAAGTGTACACCCCTTGGATCTCGGGGTGAGAGCCTTCAGCAAGACGGCGCGCAGACTGCTGCAATCCCCAGTCCGACCGACCGACCCTCGCCTCGGCCTCGCCGAGCCACCGCCTCGGGAAGCCCCCTCGCTGGCCGGCCCCGCGCGATGCAGCCGGCCGCTGCCCCTCACCATGGGGCGACGCTGGTCGGCCCCGCCGCCTTCGTCTCCGCCTCCTCCTCCTCCTCCTGCTCCTGCTCCTCATCCTTCTTCTTTTTCTCTGTCTCCTTCGCCTTCTCCTTCTCTGTCTCCTTCTCTTTCTCCTCCTCCTCCTCCTTTTCCTCCTCCTCCTCCTACTCCTCCTACTCCTCCTCCTCCTCCTCCTCCTCCTCCTCCTCCTACTCCGCATCCTCTTCTGATCCTCCTCCCTTCTTCTGTGTATCCTTCTCCTTCTCCTCTTTCTCTTTTTCTCCTCCTCGTCCTTCTCCTCCTCCGCCTCCTCCACCTTCTCCGCCTCCGCCTCCTCCACCTCCTCCTCCTCCTCGTCCTCCTCCTCCTCGTCCTCCTCCTCCGCCGCCCTCCTCCTCCTTGTCCGGTCGAGGGCCAGCGCCTCCGGAGAGAGAGAGAGAGAGGAGGCTCGACGAGCGCACCAGACGCCGGGCGCTCCCGCGAGCGCACCAGTCGCCCCCGCCGCCTGTCGGCGGCGAGCCCGGGGGGGGAAGCTTCGGCAGTTGCGGGTCCGAGGTTCTCGGTTCTCGGTTCTCCGGCGGCTTCGGCGCCTCTCTGCGGTTGTCCAGCCTCGGGATGCGCTCCAGCGGCTGCGCCTCGCCGAGGGCGTTCCCGGGGGGTGCCCCGATCGCCCCGAGCGGCCAGCGGGGAGCCGAGTCAGGAGCGAAGAGCCAACGCGGGCGTCCGAGGAGGGGCGGTCGGGGCTCTCAAGAGACACGGGGGTCAGTGCAAGCGGGGCTCAGCCAGAGCGCCCGATCTTGCTGCAAAGGCTCCCACGAGGGCGCGAAATTATTCGCGCTTCGCGCCTCGCGGTCCTCGTTCCTTCTCCCCCTCCTCCTTGTCTTCCTTTTCTCCCCTTGAGGGGGCGGCGCGAGAGCGCGAAGTTGGGAGCCCTAGTTGCTGCATCATGCAGGGCCAGGGTCGTATTGGCCCGGGTTTGGGCGCAGGATTCTGCAGGATCTTGCAGGCTCCTTCGCACTGTCCCGGGCTTGGGTGCAGGATCTCGCAGGATCTTACAGGATTTTGCAAGGCCTGACTGGCCCGTGTCTGGATCCACCCGGGTCAGAAGATCCCCTAGGCCGGCCTTCTCAGAAGGCTCGGAAGTCCCCTGGCCTTCTGAGAGGTCAGAAGTGTCCTAAGCCTTCCCCGAAGACGCAGGAAGCTTCTCAGAAGGCGCCAGGGCTTCTGAGATGTCCCGCCGCCTTCTGAGAAGGCCTTTTCCTTCTCACTTACCCCTATCGCCCGCCGCCGACATTCATCGCCGATAGGGGCCTTGTAGTTCACCTCCGCCCAGCAGCCTGCGGCTTCGCCATTGAGAGCCTGTCGCCGGTCCGTCGGCGATGCATCGCCGACCCCAGGTCGATTCCATCTCGCCGATCCCAGAGTCACTCCCTGCCGTTGCCCTCCAGGTCCCGACCCCTTCCCTGGGGCCAGTTTCCCGTCCTGTATCCATTCTCGATGAGAGAACGCGTTTCACGGGCGCTTGCCTTGGGAACATTCGGCGGCGCATTTCGAACCGGAAGGTGCCCCCCCCCCCCCCCCAACACTCGGCGCCGTCGATCAAAACCAGGGGGACTCCCCTCCTCCCCAAACCCCCTCCTCCCGAACCTCCCCCCAAGGGGGTGGGGGTGGGCCCTCCACCCCAACACTCGGCGCCATCGATCAAAAACAGGGGGACTCCCCTCTCCCCCAAAACTCCCCCTCCCGACCCCCCCCCCAGCGGGGGGGGGCCAGCGGGGGGGGGGGGTTTGAACGGCGTAGATGTTTTTCGCCCGGGTTGGTTTTCGCCCGGTGCGTTTCGCCCAGTTCGTTTCGCCCGGGTTTGCTTTCGCCCGGTTGGCTTTCGCCCAGGTTGGCTTTCGCCTGGGTTGGTTTTCGCTCGGGTTGGCTTTCGCCCGGGTTGGCTTTCGCCCGGTTGGCTTTCGCCCGGTTTGGCTTTCGCCTGGGTTGGCTTTCGCCCGGTTGGCTTTCGCCCGGTTGGCTTTCGCCCGGGTTGGCTTTCGCCCGGTTGGCTTTCGCCCGGGTTGGCTGTCGCCTGGGCTCGTTTTCGCCTGGGTTCGTTTTCGCCCTCGTCTTGAACGACGGGGGGGTTTGGCACTGTTTACGATGCTTAGGCGAAGTAGTGCACATACATTGTAAGTATATGCAGGCTACTTGTATGTGAGTTGCAATCGTGTTGCATGTTACACACATATATATTTATATATATGTTAATTTCCTAACGTACTTGTCGGCATTGCGATTTAGTTGTCGACAAAAACGATACTCGCTTATGTGATGCAGCATTTAGGGCTCCAGAGGGCTAAACCCGCTAAGTGGTTTCGGCAACGCGCTTCCCATGCGCATGATTGTTTGTTTTGTTGGCTTTGGCAGCAAGAAAAACATGATATTCGTTCGTGTCCTTTCCCGCGGGGCTTGGCCGAGGGCGTGTTTACCCAGAAATCTGAGCAGCTATTGGGGCGCGGGTCTGTGTTCTTCTTGGGGGCAGCTTCGTTAGCACAAATGTGGCACGAACCTGTAAGATCCAAGCGAACCCAGACGCTGACAAATCTGTCCGTAACCATTTTGGCTCAATCTTGGATTTCGGCCAGGTTGTTTCCCACATATAGTGCGCCAGTAATACCCCGATTTTTCTTTGATGGGCGACCGCTGCGAACACTACAGCAAACATCTCGTGGAGGAAGGAGATGACATTTTGGCACAAGCAGATGGTGGATCGGTACCAACATTGACAGTTACTTTGGAGTTCATCGACTTTTGCGAGAGGAGCAATATGATGTACAATAACGTTCTCCATTCGAAGCACGTGTTGTGCCACCCGAAAAACAGAGGATCGTTAGGCCTGAACCCTTACAACAACTGCCACCTCAACCTCGCCAGCGTCCATCGTGTTGGAGCTAACCCAGCTGAGCTGCATGGCGCCGTAGCTTTCGAGATTTCTGCTAAGAAGACCGTGGCGGAGGCAGAGATCGGCGCCAACCAGCAGTTTGTCCAACTCTCGGGTGGCCTTTTGGCGCCCGTCTCATGGTGCGAGCAGGTGCTGAGCGTCGGCTGCGGGCACATGGCGGGCGCTTGCCGTGCGGCCATCGCGGGGTGCAGGGCAGGAGGAGGAGGAGGAGGAGGAGGAGGAGGAGGAGGAGCAGGAGGAGGAGGAGGAGGAAAAGGAGGAGGGGGAGGAGCAGGAGCAGGAGGAGGAGGAGGAGCAAGAGGAGGAGGAGGAGGATGAGGAGGAGTAGCAGCAGGAGGGTGAGAGGAACTTTGGGGGCGAGGCGGTCATCCATGACCGCCTCGCCCCCCCCTTCTACCAGGACTCCGATGAAGGAGATTGCTGACGACTAGGGCCGCATTGACCTAACCAGGCAGAGGAAATCGAAACACTTGACTGCCATGCTCGACTGCGGGTGGGAGTGGAAAATCTCGAAATGACAGGTGGGGGACACGTGGGACAGGGCACCTGACATCATCCAGGCCGCCTTGAACGCGTCGCATGGTGTCGGCGCGGGCGCTTCGGAGATGGAAGTGGCCATGTCAATCGCAGAGCGCGTCCAAGCTGCAAGTGAGAGGGGCGACGGCTCGGCCGACACATGGAGCGACGCCGTCGCCGAGGCATGCGCCTCCAATCCCGCTTGCACCAGCTGCGCGGAGAAGATCGGCACGTTCGGGCGCTTGTGCGGTGGCGGCAGCGACGCACCAGTCATCAGGAAGCTAGATTCATTTTCCAAGCAGTGGAATGACACTCGCAAGCTTGGCTCCGAGTTTCTGGGCGCTGTGGTTGACGCCAGGCTGCGCGCGACCAAGGCCATGCCGCGCGTCCGCAGCTGCTTGCTGGCCGTCAACATGACTGCCGGGAAGTGCGTGGACGGCGTCGCCCGCTCGCGCACGAAGTCCGACGCCGTTACTTTCCAGGGCAAGGCTAAGAGGGCCGACGTCGAGCGCCTGGAACTAGAGCTGGAGAGGGCGTCAGACCTGAGTGCGAGCATCGACGTGCAGCAGAAGTTACCCGACGCGGGCCTATTGGAGATCGAGCGGCGGCTCATCATTCGATGCGGCGCCCACCTCTGCGGCAAGGGGGAGCAGAGGTTCGAGAAGGTGGCGCACGAGAAGTTGTCGGACATCGTCTTGCTGCTCATGAGGGAGATGCACGACATGGTGGACAAAAGAAGGCAAACACAGCGACGTCGAGCTCCACCTCCCTGCGTCGTGGGAGGCGATGCTGATCTCTCAGCCCTCGGAGGGCGAGGTGGATGCAGCGCCGGGCGGCGAGCAGCCCCGCTCGGGCGAGCACCGAGCGCTGTCGCTGGGCGAAGTTGGTAGCAGCGCTCATTCGGCATCGCAGAAAAGGCTTCAACGTTGGCGACAAGGTCGTGGAGAAGGGCATGAAGGAGCACGGGATCTACGTGGTCAAGCATATCGGTGACGAGGTGAAGCTGCAGGAGGTCAGCCCGTTCAAGGACGACTACGTCGAGGTTTCCATCGGGCTCCCGATCTTCTTCCAGAAGTGGCTTGCCTACAAGAGCGAGCTGCCTGGCAAGGTCGAGGGCGATTGGGCTGCGCGCCGCGTCAGCCCAGCCGCGCCCGTCGTCACCGTCGACGTCGCGAGGGGCAAGTTCTTGGTTGCTCTTGCGTTGGCGTCCAGTGAGAGGAACGGCGAGTTCGCGGACCAGGTCTACCTGTGTTGCAAGCCAGCAGCCGTCAGGGCAGCTGCGCCGATAAAGAAGGAAGAGTTCCGCGTCGCGCCTGTGTGCCCCCTCGGCGCGATCTCGACGACCAAGGGGGCCGACGGCATCTGGGGTGGCCACGCTGTGGGGGCCGAGTCGGCGAAGATCTACCCGAACAAGTCCGCCCAGCCGGAGGGGCCGAACGCGGCCGATTGGATGCACGAGTCGCCGGTAGACCTCATTTGGTGGATTAGGTAGCGCAGACTCGGAGACAGACGCGAACGTCGCCATAAAAACATGATATTGTTTGTGGATCCACGGTGCCAGTCCTGACGAACACCAAGCTACTCAAGAAGCATGCGCTTCTTCAGTTTTTCAAGCCAAAGCCCGCTCACGTCGCCTTGGACGGGGCGACCGCAAGGAAGAGGAGGCGCGCTTAGCCAGCGCAGCTCCTGCGGATAGGGCCCCCCTCCTCCTCCATCTCTTCCTCCTCAGCATCCTCTTCTTCTTCATATTCCTCCTCCTCCTCCTCCTCCTGTTCCTCATCCTCCTCCTTCTCCCCTCGTGATCATCCTCCTCGTGGTCCTCCTCATCTTCTCCCTCATCTTCCTCCTCCTAGGGCCGTGCACGGTGCCCAGAGCAGCTCTTTGCAACATATGCATATACACATTGTTGTGGAAACCAGGGCTTGCTATTTCAAAGCCAGGCGATAAGACAATAATACGGTAAAACGATAAGGCGATATAAGACGATCAGACGATAATACGATAAGACGATATAGAGACCCGCCAGGCGATAAGATGATACTACGACAAGAACATAGATATATATGGTCTCGCCGAACGATGAGATACGACGATAGGCCGATAAGAGTTATCGTATTATCGTCTTATCGTCTTGTCGTCTTATCACCCAAAGCTTTAAGTATCACCCATGGGCCATAGCTATGCCGTGCTATGCCAGTCCAGGGGCCAAGCGCCCCACCTTGGCCTCCGCCCATTGAGGCGCCTTACTCGTTTTCCCACCTTATGCTATAGTTATCACCCGTGGGCCATATCTTTGGTGTCTGGAGCCCGAGCGCCCCACCTTGGCCTCCGCCCATCCAGGCGCCTCACTTGGGAGCTCGCCTTAGGGGCCCCCTCCAAACACCGAGCTGGGAAACTGCATCCCCCCTCCCTCCAAAAACCGTTTCTGGAAACGGTTTTTATGTTAGTTGTCGTTCGGTCTTTACGATCTTTGGGCTTCTTGGCGGTCCCAGGGTCCTCTTGGGTGCCTCGGGGGGGCCCTCGGGGCCTCTTGGGCATCTCTTGCGCACCTGCGCACCTAGCCAAAAGACGACCAGACGATAAGACGATACGATGTATTGTATTGCCGTCTCATCGTTTTCCCACCTTAAGCTATAGTTACCACCCATGGGCCATAGCAATGGTGTGCTATGCCGTTCCACGGGGCCCATCAAGGCGCCTCACTTGGGAGCTCGCCTTGGGGCCTCCTTCCAAAAACCGAACCGGGAAACTGTGCCCCCCCCCCCTCCCCCCCCTCCCTCCAAACACCGTTTCTGGAAACGGTTTTTATGTTAGTTGTCGTTCGGTCTATACGATCCGTGGGCTTCTTGGCGGTCCCAGGGTCCTCTTGGGTGCCTCGGGGGGCCCCTCGGGGCCTCTTGGGCATCCCTTGCGCACCTACACACCTAGCCAAAAGACGACCAGGCGATAAGACGATGCGATGTATTGTATTACCGTCTCATCGTTTTCCCGCCTTAAGCTATAGTTATCACCCACGGGCCATAGCTATGGTGTGCTATGCCATCCCACGGGGCTCCGATTGGCTCCCCCTCAGGGCGCTCCCCTTTCTGGAGCCCGAGCGCCCCACCTTGGCCTCCGCCCATCAAGGCGCCTCACTTGGGAGCTCGCCTTGGGGGCCCCCTCCAAAAACCGAACCGGGAAACTGCGCCCCCCCCCCCCCCCCCTCCAAACACCGTTTCTGGAAACGGTTTTTAGGTCAAAGCTTTCCCCGTGAGCACGCAGCTGCGCCCTCAGATCCCAGCGTCGTGGTCGTCTGTCGTCGTTGCAGGTCCTCCTCGGCCGTCGTCGGTCATCGGTCGTCTTCGCGGTCGTCGTCGTCTCGGTCGCCCGTCGGTCGTCGTCAGCCCTCGTCGTCGTCCGTCGTCGGCCGTCAGTCGTCAGTAGTCATATCGCGCGTCTCATGCTGAGTTCTCGGACGGGCCCCTGCCGGCCCGAAAGCCGTGCGCCCGCGGCACGGGTGTCCAGTTGTTCGCCATTAATTGGGCCCGCCCGTCCACGAGAGGCCCGCTTGTGGTACTTCCAAAAACAAACACTGACCCCGCCACTCGGGTGATTGCGCAAACTTGTTCGTGGCAGTGCTTACGTTCACAGTGGCCTTTATTGGCTCAAGCAGCGCGTGGCTCAAGCAAAGCTGATGCGCCCGACGCCCAGATCACGACAACGCGTGCACCATGCCGCTCGTGATGACAACCGTCAGGCGGTTCAGCTTCGATGTGGCTTCCAGAAAGTATTGGGATGTGACGGCCGGCGGCGTTATCGCTGTTGAATGTGGTGGCGAGACGGTCGAGTTCGTCAAGCTCCATCCCTCGACGTCGGTCGGCCTCCCTCGTCTCATCTTCGACGGGTGCCCCGACGCTGCCGATGTGCCTGAGGACGGCGCGCTGACCCGATCCAGGGGGTACGCTACGTTGGCCAAGCTGCGCAACGAGGCCCAGGCCAAGTTGGAGCAGGCGGAGGCGCTCGAGAAGGTCCCCAAGATGGTGCGGGACCACGTCCAAGTCAAGAAGGCTCGTGTGTCCAGGACAGAGAGTGCATCGACGTGCCCGTTAGCTTTGTCTGTCACGGTCGACGATGGCCACGACCCGTTCGAGCTCGTGATGCTTCGTCATATTCATCGCCGTGAGGACATCGCGGTGGTGCTCGACCTTGCCAAGCTGGAGAAGGTCGTGGCGTACTTGGCGGCGTCTGGTCTCGACGCGCCGCCCGAGAGGGAGAAGCTCCCCAAGGGTGTTCGGAAGGTTGGGAAGAAGTACGGCTACGTCATGGAGTGGGGCAAGACGAACGTGAAGGCGGCCAGCTCTTTGGAGGAGGCGACCCAGCTGGCCGCGCAGAGCTGCGCTGCGTACGTTGCAACGAACGTGGCCGCGGAGGGTTCTTCTGACTGTCTGGGCGAGATTCCATCCAAGCGCTCGGCCACTGTCTCGCTGGGGGACTGTTCGAGTCCAAGCTGGGGTGTATGCATGCGCGTGCGGAATTTATTGCACGCTCTCTTGGGGCTGAGAGCTCGGGCGTTCGGGAGGGCAGCCATCGGCTCTGTCAAGCACCCCAGTCGGACTCAGAAGCGCATAGCAGTTGACATGGCTCTCATCGCGTCGTCGTCGTCGTCATTCGTCGTCGTTGTCATCGTCGACGTCGTCGTCGCCGCCCGTCGTCGTCGTTGTTGTCGCGGAAGTCCGTCGTCGTCGTCGCCGTTCTCGTCGTCTCAGTCGGTCGTCAGCCGACGGTCGTGGTCGTCGTGGTCGTCGTCAAGCTGGCCTGTCCTAGGACCTCGGCGGGACTTCGTGTGGGCTCGAGGGGTTTGCTGGGAGCTCTCTCGAATCAAATCTCGGAGGTCCATGGCGCCTGCGGCAGGGCAGTACCCCTCTTGGCAATGCATACTCGAGTTTGATCGATTCTACAACTCGGCATGCTGTCGCCAACTCGAGTTGCATGGTTCCTGCAACTCGACATGCTGGCGCCAACTCGAGTTGCATGGTTCCTGCAACTCGAGATGCTGGCGCGAACTCGAGTTGCCAAATGTTGCACTCGAGATGGTGTCAGCAACTCGAGTTGCAGGAGTCGTGCAACTCGACATGCTGAGACCAACTCGAGTTGCAGATCTCAGGCAACTCGAGTTGGCGTCAGCATGTCGAGTTGTTGAAGTAAATCAACTTGGCGCGCGTGGCGAGGGTCGCGCCAGGCATTCAAAGGCGCGCCAGCGCAGCCTCAGACCTGTAGGCGAAGGGCGGCGACGACGACGTTGACGACGGCGGCGACTCCGACGACGCCGACGACGGCAGCCTTCGAGACGGCCCATGACGCTTCCATCGGAGACTAAGGGAGCTCCCACTGCAGCGGATCATTTCCTCATAGAGGCTTATTGGGCTACCTCAAGATGGCGCAAGGGAGCTTCCATGGGGCCTGAGGAAGGTCCCAAAGACGGCCCAGATCCATTACAATAGCAAGAAAGATAATGAGCTCTGACGACCGAGATTGACACCTTCTCAGATCACTGTGCTCTCTCAATTGGGTTGGGTGCCGCCCCCCCTCCTCCGTCTCGGACCTTCGGGCGGCTCTCGAGTTCCGGAGCTTCGTTGCCTGATGTAGGTTACGCGCGGTTCTTGTTGCTGCCCGAGAAGCCCTTTAACGAGAGGAAACGAGGCAGAGGTAGCAAACGGGCACAAGTTTGAGTCACAAGTTTCGTACGTTTGGGCCTCCTGGACCCTCTTGGGATCCTCTTGCCAAGTGTTCGTTTTCAGAGCGCTCTCAAACTATCGCTTGCTGGTTACCATCATGGGCTTATGGGCCATATTAGCGCTCTCTTGGGGCCCTTGTCGGCGCTCTTGGGCCCCTCGTGGGCCCCAAAGGACAGTGGTGCGTGACGGCTCCTGCCTGAGACTCCCTCGTGCGGCACCCCGCAGAGTGAGTGAGTGAGAGAATGCATGGCTGACTGGCTGATGATGAGTAAGTGAGTGAGTGAGCGAGTGACGAGCGAGCGAGTGATTGAGGATCATGGTGTTGCGGACGATGAACATAAATTATCACAACTGTTCCCTGGCTGTTTTCCACTGGCGGGATGAGTGAGTGATGTAGAGAGAGGAGAGTGAGTGAGTAAGTGAATGAGTGCGTGAGTGAGTGAGTGAGTGATGACGATGATGACGGTGATGATGATGCTGATGATGATGATGATGATGGTGATGATGAGTGTGTCGGCTGTCATCTTCGCGTGGAAGCGGTGGTAGCGTAAGTGTTGATGTCACGAACGCTACGCTGCTGTTGTACTGGGGCGCTCTTTTGCGTCAGTAACGCTACTGATTTGCGGGGCCCTGTTTTGCGTCAGTAACGCTCGGGGCCATGTTTTGCGTCAGAAACGCTCGGGGCCCATTTTTGCGTCAGCAACGCTTGGGGCTCTTGATGCTTCTGTTCTGGGGCCCTCTATTGTGTCAGTGACACTTGCAAGTCGTGCGTGGCCTTTTTTGGCTCAAGTGCTAAGTGCTTTCACCAGCAGTGAGTTCGCGGCATAGACATGCTGCTCAGCGCCATTTCGGTCGAGCTGGAGCAGGCGTCTGCATGCAAGGATAGGCCCTTGATCGGAAAGCTCGTGGAGTCGCTGGTCGCCAAGATCAACTGGCTCCCCACGCTGGACGTCGAGGGCGCGAACCAGCTCCAGAGGAAAATCAGCGACCTGTCCCTACAAGATGTCCATGAGGAAACTCTCGGTGCTGCTGTCGACTCCAAGCTCGAGATCCATTTGGCCGACGAGAAGGAGGACGTGGAGAGCAAGAACCAAACGCTGACGAACTGCGAGGCCTACACTTCAGCGTCGCTCAAGGAGGGGCTCCAGAATCCGAAACTCGATATCCAGACAAAGATGCATATTGCAGCTGACTTCCTCGTGCTTTGCGGCTGCGCGAATCCGTGCGAGCAGACGTACAAGTGGTGGCTTGCCCTTATCCTCCGCGCGCATTTCACGAGTTCGGCGTGGCCGTCTGACAGGGCCACGTTCGGGCTGCTCGAGGACTTCAAGGATTGCGCCATCGCATCTCGGAAGCACTTCCCCTTCGCGAAGATCAAGAAGCACCCGATGGGGCCCATGCGACATGCCTCTGCCGATCTTCCAGCACGTCTACGGCAGTGGCGGCCCTGATCCGCTGAACATGGAACGCCTTGCGGCCGCGACGAAACGCATCCCACCCCGTAAGAACAGCAACCTGCTCGTCAAGGAGGGGAAGGCGAAGCAGGAGGTGCAGGATGCGCCCGACTGGGCGAAGGCGTTGCTCAAGCTCAAGCCGCAGCAGGACATCAACATCCACATGAGCGACCGCGGCAAGAAGGAGGAGCAGGCCGATGGCTACGACGCTGCGCTCCAGGGCGAGGCGCTCAACGACAAGAGGAGGCGCTAGCTCAGTCGGGTACAGAGCAGTCATGCGTGCGGACTTGGCCGCCGGGTGCGCCCGCCGCCAGGCGCAACGCCGGCCCCGTTGCATGGCGCGCCGAGGCCGACCCCGAGGCCTAGCGCGGCGCCCCTCGCGATCGCTGACCGCGAGCCCGCCCTCAAGGACGAGTCTGGCTCCGATCCAGACGCGGTGGGCGACGTGCGGAAGTTCGAGAAGGCAGCCGTGCAGGCCCTCCAGGCGAAGGGGGAGAAGGCGAAAGAGAGGGCGAATGGGAGAGCGAAGGAGAAGGCGGCGGAGAAGGCGGCGGAGAAGGCGAAGGATGTGACGGAGGCGCCCAGGAAACGCCCCGCCGCTGCAGGGGCGCCGCGCCCTCCTCTCAAGCGGCCTGCCGCTTGGAAGAACGATGCCGCGCTGCCAGCTCCAGACCGCGCCTGCCCGAAGATCGACGGCCCTCCGACCCGCTGGAATGGCGGGGCCATCTATGTTGCCAAGAGGATCAACGCGTTCAGGAGTATCTTGGACAGCAATAGCCCCAAGGGCGAGAAGCGTGCGAGCTGGGGCTCTGACAAGCCGACTGAGGCTGCTTGGCACAAGGCGAAGCAACTCATCCTCTACGCCCGCGCTGCTGAGCGGAAGGGAAAGAGGGCCATGTGATGAGCATGCTCAGTGAGTTTTGATTTTGTTGCGGTGTCTAACTGGCAGTGTAATTTTAAATTACGTTTGTTGATTCTCCAGTGTCGTGTATGCTAGGTGTGTGCCCTTCTTTGATGTGTTACTGTGTGCTCTGAGCTATGGGGTTCGGCTCGCGAGAGCGGCGGGCGCATGCGTGTATATGGGGAGCAGCGCTGCTCAACCTTTCCAAAGGAGCGCTGCAACCATGCATGGTGCTCGCCACTGAATCTTACACACTGCCACAGACAAACCAGAAACACATCATCGGCATGCACGCCGTCATGGCTGTCCCCGCCCCCTCCTGCATGGCCATTTTCATGTAAGCCAGCCTTACATTCTGTCCGTGACCATTTTTGTTCGAGTGATTACCAGTTCGAATGCTTGTTGCGTTTTTTTTTTTTTTTTTTTTTTTTTTTTTTTTTTTTTTTTTTTTTTTTTTTTTTTTTTTTTTTTTTTTTTTTTTTTTTTTTTTTTTTTTTTTTTTTTTTTTTTTTTTTTTTTTTTTTTTTTTTTTTTTTTTTTTTTTTCTTTCTCTCTCTCTCTCTCCTTCCTGTTCTTATCTTCTTCTTCTTCATTTTCATTTCTTTCTTGTTTTGTTTTATTGTGTTTTGTTATCTTTGTTTGTTTGCTGTTTTTTGTTCAAAAAATGCATATCGGATCGCCCCGCGAAGCTCGTGCGTCTTGACAAGTTTCGCAGGCGGTCGCCACATGTATCGCAGAGCGCCCTCAGTGCAATACTGGGCGAAGTCGAGAAGCACGGCGTGCCCGAGTCACAGCAGGGCATCGTTTTATGAGGCCCGTGAGCTGGTTGCAGGATCCATGACTGATTATGGCCCCCCTGCGCGCCAATATGGAGATGGATACGCTGGACGTGGGAACTCAGACGCTACATATTGCCCAGCCTCTTGCGTTGATCTCGCATGCTTACCAGATCTCCGATCAGTTCGCATCCTTCCTGAGTCGGCTTCACGCCGAGAACCCGTGCTCGGTTGAGGGGCCGTGGCGCGTGTGCCTGTGCAGCGACGAGGTCCCGCCTGCCAGCCCATTGGCAGTGGGCCAGAGAAAACAATTGCACGTGATTTATTTTTCTGTATTAGAATTTTGGGCTGGGGCCTTTTGTGCACAGAACGTGTGCGTAATGGCAGCGAAAGGTGGCATGGTTCAGATGTTCGGAGTCGTGCTGAAACAGCTTTTCCTGGAGCCCGCTGGCAATCTAACGACTGGGATCGTATTGCGGCGGCCTGGTAGTGAGCCCATTCGCCTCTTCGCGGCGCAGGGGCCCTTCGTGCAGGGCGGAGGGGGTCACAAAATCACATGGCATTGCAAAGGCGAGGGAGGCACCAAGCACTGCCTACTATGCAAGAGCCTGTTTGCAGAGAAGAGCGAAATCCACGATGAAGCTGGAAGCGGGCTCGTCACATGCAATGCTATGAAGTATAGCGGCCTCGCTCTGGCAACAAGTGCAGAACTGCGATATGCGTGCAATCGGCTCGCCGCGAAGCGGCGCGTTGAGGACCCGCGTACGTTCGCAAGGCGACAGATGGCCTTGGGCTTCACATTCATGTTATGCAACCTCCTGTGAGACCCGACCCTCGACACTGTTGTGCAGCCGAGGGAGCAGCTCATGTTCGATTGGATGCACTGTCTGTTCGTGGGAGGCGCGTGGGCTGTCTGTTTGAACTTAGTGTCGGAGTCCATCAGGGCGACAGGCGTGACTAAGATGTACGGCAGTTTGTAGGGCTACGCGAAGTTGGGGCACTGGCCTGGTAGGACTAAGGCGGACCGCGTGTTTGAAGTGTTTGACCCCAAGCGCAGGGAAGCAAACGCAAAGTCTATGTACTTCAAGTGCCAAGCCAGCCAAGGCCTTTCAGTATACAACTTGGTTCACTACTTTCTCCAGCAGGTCGTGGTGCCTAAGGGGGTCTGATTGGCTGAGATATCTGCGTATGCTGCGCTATGCGATGTCATCGATTGCTTGACTTTGGCAAACCGTGCTTGCGTTGCACACGGGCAAATGATCACGTCGACCGAGTTGTTCCTCGAGAAATGTGTTGTTGTATGGGGCGTGGCGTGCACGATATTGGCTCCTACACACGGAAGATTCCTTCCGAATGTACGATGCACTCCTGAGCTGCGTCGTTCATGAGAGGAAGCATAAAGCGGTTCGTCGATATGCAGTGGACGTGAGAAACACAAAGTCTTTGAAAGCCAGTGTCTTGCACGAGTGCACTGCCCAACACATGGCCCTGTTAGCAGACGGTGAGAGTCGCGTGTGTGATTTCACCCCTGGCTTGATCAAGCCACGGCCAGCTACTAAGAGTTTGAAGGGATTCGTTGAGCTTGAGCTTCAGTTAAAGCTGGAGGCGAGCGAGTGCATGTGCTCAATTCAAACGCGGTTTTCCCCTCATGGGTGCAGTTGTGTTCGTGATGTAGTTCTGGTCAAGGATGGTGGCAGCCTTTTTGCCGCATACATGTGGGCTCATCTAGAAGTGCGACGGGTTCCGATTTCTGTTGTGAGCATGTATCTTTTGAAGACAGTTGAAAATATGAACGGGGTAGCAGTGTGGCAGTTTTCTCAGGGTGCCACGCTCATCGATACTGAGACCATTTGTGAAACGCTCGTGTGGACCAAGTCTGGTAATGATTTGATCACGTTTCTTCCTCGGCAGCACAGCGGATAGGTGTGCGTGGCATTGCAAAACAAATATTATCGAATATATCGTGTCCTTACAGTATTCAAGACGCTTCGCGTTCACCGCCCGCCCATTCCAGTTCTCGCCGGACGAGGCGAAGACGGCTCCATGACGGGAGAAACATAGGCAGGAATTCATACAAGTCGTGTGCTTTGTTGTTTTTGTCCCGCGTTCTCTTTTCCTATGCTATCGCCTACTATGCTCAGGCATGCCTCGTGACTGTTCGATCGACAGTAGGTTTGTCGTACTTGCTACTGTTAGTGGTGGTGGTGCTGCGACTGGTGTTGCTGCTGGTGTTGCTGTTGTCGCTCCTGCTGGTGGTACGGTGCAGTGCTGGTGCCGCTGCTGCTGTTGGTCCTGCTTTTGCTGCTGCTGCTGGCGCTGCTGGCGCTGCTGGCGCTGGTGCTGATGGTGCTGGTGTTAGTGCTGCTGCTGCTTGTGGTGCCGCTGCTGTTGTCAGTGGTGGTGGTGGTGGTGGTGCTGCTGCTGCTGGTCGCAGTGGTGGTGCTGCCGCTGCTGGTGGTGCTTTTGCTGTTGACGTTGCTCTCTGGGGGGCCTGTCGGGGTCGTTGACCTCTTGGGGCTCCTTTGAATGGTTCGGGGTCCTCGTGGTGCTCTTTCGGGAAGCCTGGGGGTCTTTGAGCTCTCTTGGGGCCCTCTTGGGGGCCCTTTGGAGCCTCGGAGGAGCTCTTGGGGCCTCCTTGGAGGCCATCGGTCACACGAGGGGCGGGGTCCCCGATTGACGCCCTCCCCTCTGGAGCTCTCAAAGTGGCCTTTTGGAACCCTCTTGGGCCGATGTTTGGCCGCCCTTGGGCGTTCTTCGGCGCCAAGAAGGGCCGAAGAGGAACCCGAAAAGGGCCCAAAGAGACGCCAAGCAGGCCCCGAGGCGGTCTGGGGGAAGCCCAGGGCGGCTCAAGCGACAGCACTTCCGCGTTGGGTCGCAACCGCGTCCGTCTTACAGTAAAAACCGGGCGGGGTCTGACCTGGTTTGGGGTCCGTTTTGCGGCCCAACATGGGCCCCGCAGCGTCCAAAATGGACCCCGGAGCGCGCCAAAAAACGGCGAACAAAAGGGAGTGATGACAAGTGACGCACGCCAGCCCGGAAGTCAACTGTAAGCAGCGTCCTGGATAGCCCCGGGGAAGCCGAAATCAGGCCCAAACCATGGTATTAGCCATTTTGTTTGACATCCCCACGTGTCGGCGAGAATGAGCCAAAGAGGCGCTGTCGAGGGCTCCGGGAGCGGATATTGGAGGCCAAGAAGGGGCCCCGACGGGGCCGAAATGAAGCCCACAGGCGCCCCGGCAGCGTCTTCAGAACGATACCAAGATCGAGCTTGTCTTGGACGCCGCCGTGGAGCCGTTTTGGAAACCGAAAAAGGGCATTTCCGCAGCCGGGCGGCGGAATGGCGGAGCCCACTGGGGGGGGAAAGGGGGGGGGGGCTAAAGCTCTGTAGTTAAATCCCACACGCCCCTCAGCCCGGTGGGCGGGCGGATTCTAATGGCTTGCGCCATTCCGAAGACCGACGGGGGGGAGTTAGGGGCCGCACTGGGCCCATTTCTCTCGGGGGGAGGGGGCTCCTAGGAGCAACACCAATCAGGCAGGCCAAGCGTTTCGCTGGAGACATCTTCGCAACTCAAGCTTGAGCCCCTAATAAAAAAATCACCCAACAAATCAAACCAATCCAACGCAAGAAACCCAAGGAGGAGGAGGAGGAGGAGGGGGAGGATGAGGAGGGGGAGAGGAGGGGGGAGGAGGAGGGAGGGGGAGGAGGAGGAGAGGAGCAGGAGGAGGAGGAGGAGGAGGAGAGGAGGAGGAGGAGGAGGAGGAGGAGGGAGGGAGGAGGGGAGGAGAGGAGGACGACGACCGCGCGCCCGTCGCCCCGCATTCAAGAAGTACCAGGCGGTCGCGCCGCCGCCGCCGCCGCTACTACAGTGCAGGCGGCGGCGGCCGTATACGGCCGCCGCCGCCCGCGCTCTGCTCCCCCTCCTCCTTGAAAGCTCAGTTGCTTCTCCTTCTGCTCCCCCCCCTCCTCACTTCCCCCCCTTCCTCTCCCCCCCCTCCTCCTCAAAACTCCTCTTCCTCCTCCTTCTGCTCCTCCTCCTCCTCTTGGGGCTCGTCTTAACATAACCCACTTACAGAATATGTAAGTCCCCCGCCTAGGTGGCGCATGTGGCTTAGGATGTTCGCAATGCGGCGTGCTATGTGCCGTGCATGATGGCAAACCCGCGCGTCATTCAAGCTCTTTCTCTTCTCCTCTTCCCGCT